GCGGACCTGCACAAAAAGGTGAGCACTCCGACGATCAAGTCAGTATAGGTCGGATTCCTAGTTTAGTTCGAGGTCAGAAATCATCGTACCTGATCGTGGAGTGAAGTCCTCTACTTATGGGTGGTAGTCCCGCTAGTCTCGCGACGGTTACACCCGGTAATCTCGGGACCGTCGGTTACACCCGGTAATCTCGGGACCGACGGTTATACCCGATAATCACGCCGCTGACAGTAGCTCACATCGGCCCCCACCGAGCTTCCCAGTAGGTCGGACCTTGGCCAGGTTCACCTCGGCCCTCATACTTAGCATCTGTCAACGCTAGTGGTGGTGATCTCGGCCGTCCGAGCTGGGCATGACTCATAAGTCATCTTGGAGCACCAATAGGGGTCATCCACGTGTCCAGGGTATTCTCTTCCCCAAACATAGACTACTTCTCTCATTGTCAATTATTTTTTAGATGAAACCCATGAATATTAATACCTAGGTCACGTGCTCCACTACACCAACGTAAGATTTTTTTAACATGACTATATTATGTAATTTATAATATAAGTTGAGGGGAGCTCGTGCTCCATAAGCCTGCTATACATTTTGCCCATGCTTGCGCACAAAAATCTAGTCCCAGTATGGTGTTTTGTGTGTTAATGACAACGGTAGCTTAAGTACTCTAAGTATCTCCAAAGTGGTATGATATTGTCCGCTTTGGGTATAACCCTCATTACTTTGCTTTTAGTTTCACAAAAAACGCTTCATATCAATGGAGATAATTCTCCTCATCTATATACCACGGATCATGTTGTTCCCTAGTGAATGTGAGACTTTGTTACATTCCCCTTACAAACCCAACAATCCTCTCCTCAAGTAGTCACTTATCCATCTACTCTCAAACCCGGATAAGAGCTTGCTATTATCAAAGGCTTTAGGCACAGTAAGATAGAGCATACACACGAATTACACTATGACTACATCTTTTGAGACAGACCACTTATTTGTTCGGCACTCGAGGATTCACCAACACAATTATGTTTAGATCATGACTCTGATAACACTTGTGAAGGACACGATACCCCAAGTATCTTCATAATGGTATGATAATGTCCGCTTTAGACATAACAATACAATAATAATAACAATAAGAACAATAATATAAGAACAAGAACAATAGAATAATAATAACAATAACAATAGAATAATAATAACAATAACAATAGAATAAGAACAACAAAATATTAATAATAACAATAAGAACAACAATATATTAATAATAACAACAATAATAATAACAATAGCAACATCAGTACTAGTAATAATATCAACAGTAATAACAGTACTTGTAATAATAATAACAGTGATAACAGTACTAGCAATAATAATAAGAAGAAGAAGAAGGTAAACCTATTCTGAACCTATTTCTTTGATGCACGGCGTAAAAGAGGGAACAACTTGATGAATGGTGTACAAGAGGGAACCAGAAAGAAAAATGATTAAAGACACAAGTATCAACCTATCCAGAATAAACAAAGGTTTTTTTTAGGAAAAGAAAAGAGGGAGATATTGGAATAACAGAAACAATAATAATAATAAATAAATAAAATAAATTGAAAACAGTCGTTGTTCCAATGGTAAGATTCGATGCCTTGAAATCAATTTAAGCACTACTTTAGTGCTAAATCGTTTGCACATTTATTGCTTCTCAAGGTTTACACAACATTCTTCTTAGAACTCGTTTCAAGAAACCTTGGAATGGATTAAACTTTAAAGGAAGATGTAGAAAAAGTTGTACTCTGCAGGAAAAAAAATGAGAATATTAATGAAATTAATTTAGAAACATTGATGAAATTAATTTAGGGATGTTAACATAATTAGTTTCATTGATTAAAAGATTTATTTAGTCCAAAAAATAAGAACAAATAATTAAAAAGATAAATATAATTCTTATTTTCATGCAGGTGTGAGTTACTACATGAACTTGTCTGCCCGCCCGACCGAATGTGGCACGCATGTGGGGAGATATCTTTTACAAACCCACTAGAAGAGTTTGCCATATAAATTATTCTACCAATTGTGAAATTTCGTACCGAGGACAAAAGTCAAACATTTTTACCCAATAATTATTACACCTGCTAAACTATATTCATGTTGACTTCAGAGGAGATAACGATGTGACATACAAAGGTTGGTTCATACTTCATTTACCTGCTCCTTGATCTTGTAACTATTACCATTATTTGGACTAAAAAAAATACAATTATTAATGGCATTATTCAAAAGATAATAATAATAATATAATAAGGTGGTGTATTAATTGACTCGGCTTGAGAGTTTCTCTAATTCTTTAATATGTCATGGCGAACCTAAACTTAATTTGCTTTTCTCTTTTTTCCTATACAAAGTTCCAACTCAATTGATTAAAGTACTTATATACCATTATATTAAAAAGTCGTGAGTTCAAATTTTCCTCATGTTATATTTTTTCGAAAGATAAACCATCTCATTAAAGAGAGTATGTAAAAAATATACAAAGGTACAAAATAGAGGCTCAGATAAAAGCACTTCAATGGAGAGAAATGGTTGAAAGACCTAGATACAAAAGAGAGGTGATTTGGATGACCAAGATGAACAAAGAATCTTTCAATCATCCCAAAAATGGGTACAAGATCTTGAAGTATCTAAGAAAATGCAATTATTATGCTCAGACAAAATATTCCAAATTATGACAGAGACCGCAACATTGTTCTACAAAATGTCCCTTCGACTCTTTAAAGGGATAGAGAGGAAAGGCCAAAATATGATACCCGAAGGGCCCGGCGCGCACAATCCTATCCTATCCGAGTCCGAAAAGGGATCTCTTAGTCAAGTCATCAACACTAGCTGGGAGAGGAAGATTGATGCTGAAAATGCCAAAAAGGAGGCTTTGAATATGGGCAATGCACGAATAAATAAAGGTTCTTTTGAACAGAAACATATATATTTTTTTGAACAAAAGGAAGATGCAAGAGTCATATTCTCTAAATAAGAAAAGATTCTGCAAAGAGAGAATTTTTAGTACACACCATATAAAGCTTGTTTCATGTCTTTTAATTTTGTTACAGGACTGGATCTCCCTAATTCTCTAATATTTGTTGTCCATTACATAACCGAAAAAGAAAAACGATTACAATTGAAGGACTCATAAGAATAACCAATCTGAACATACTTAAATTGGTTAAGACATATATGCCAAATCCCGATCAAAGATCGTGTGTTAAAATCTGAAAAGGAAAAAAAAAAAGTTCTCAAGAATAAATAAAAGGAGCTTTTTAACAAGTTATCAACGGTAGATGCAAGATTCAATATTATCTTAATAAGGAAAGATTCTTTAAAGACATTGACACCTTATAAAGCTTGATTCATGCCTTTGAATTTTGTTATAGTATTTATCTCCAAGCTTTGATTTACCAGCATCTTCGAGTGTTGGCATAGTGGCAAGAGATTTGAATATTCATACCCAAGATCCAAGTTCAAGTGCTCCAATATGAAGAGAGAATATTAGTATTTGAATAAATAATTTTTTTATGGTAATTCATCTACTTAAGCACTTAAAAATTTAGCAATAATTATGTATTGACCTTTTTGTAACTGAGCCTCAATATACTTCTCAAACTTTTTCTCCATACTCTGAACTAGGCTATAGAACATATAAGTAGTGTTAGAATTGTGGTTCCCATGGATAAGATTCTCTTCAATTCATAAAGTTAAAAGATAATAAATATTAAAAGTCGCATAGAAAAATTATGTATCTAGTGGGGTTTATGCCCTATAGTTTTTACTTGTTAATTGTACGTGAGATAATTAGATTAAGAGATATGTATCGAGAATGAAGGACTTTTGCTTAATTACACTATTGACATGAGTTCACTTTATAAATGTCACGAGAAATAAATTTATTTGAATAGCCCTATGGAGAAATGTGAGTGAAGACATAGAGCAAAATGGAGATCTTAATCTCGATTAATTTTAATGTTTTTGGAAGCATGTACAAGTACCAAAAGAAGATAAAAAGATGGTCTCCATTTTGGAGACTTTGCATAAGAGATTATTCCAAAAAGAAATCAAACCTAAATATAAAAAGAAAAATGAGAGATAATTGATCCCATTTACAAGCTGTACAAGATCTATTTAAAAGGAAAAAAATAGTAGACAAATACGATAATAATTACAGAGATATGTATTTAAATAGCACGTTTGATGAATTTTTTTATTTTATCTTAATTTATTTGTGGTCTTTGTTGGCGGTATGGTGTGTATTTGGTTGTTCAGATTTTGCCGTTTTTGTTTAGATAATACATTTAAATTATTGGCCATGTGGAGACGTGTGATTGAATATATTACATGTGGCATATATAATCATATAAGATTGGAACACTATTTGTTGAAAAGGAGCACTATTTTCTTGTTGTAGCTTGATATAAAAAATTAATACGAATTAAATACTAGGATGATTGTTTGCAAAATTTAATATTAACTCGAATTCAATGTGCACAACTCACAATTTTTTAGTGTAAATATTAAGTGCGTGGCACCCTCAAGTTTAGGAAAGTCTAAAACAACTCATGATATTACAACTACGAAATAGAATCTTACTCATGATATTGACTATGAAATACTATCCGTTAGAGAATTAGCGAAATGGAAAGAGATAATAGATACTTTTATACTATAGAATGATAGTTTACAAACTATAACTATTGATTGCATATGTAATGATTATATCTGTCGTTGTCATAGTTTGAATAATGGAAAACCCCGACTTCCTTATTCTTTCCCACACATAAAAAAAGACCAAAAAAAAAAATTAATAATAATAAAAAAACCAAAGTGTGTGAAAGAGATCCAAAAGCTTGAAACCCGCCTAGTAAAGCGATCTAGAATCAAAGAAAAAGAGAAAAAAATACATTTATAGAATTGCAGAAAAATAAAATAAAATAAAAAAATATATAATTTATTACATATTTGGTTGAAAACCCTATAAAAAGGGAGGGGAGAGCAGCTGATAGAGCACCACAAAGAAAAAACACAACCCTATAGCTTCTGTTTGTTGTATCATTTTGTAGGTTGTGTTCTGTTCTCAGGATCAATGGCTCCAGGTAAATGGAGTTAACTACTTTCTTTTATTATTTTTCATCCAACTTTCTCTTTCAAATCCAACATTTCTTTAAATTCTTTAGCATTACATATATATATATAATACAAAGCCTGTTAGTTATTCTCATGCTCTCGGGAGAGAGTTTGAGCAGGTAGTTTGTTAACGTTTCCTCAGAAGTATTGTTGAAATCCGAGGACGTTACAGTTGGTATATATATCCTTTGAAGAGCTAGCATATAAAAGATGAAACATTAAAGTTAATGTGTGTTTCTATTTTGTTTTATTTGTTTAACGTCGGTATTTGTTTGATTTGTTATCCACTTTTCAAAAGAACTTATTCGAAATCTAAATTGACTTCTGAAACGTAATTAAAAAAAAAAAAAAAAGAGTAAGTGGTTTGTCAAAAGCTTGTGTTTGTTTTTAAATTTTGGCTCTTTTTTATGGTTTCTAGTTCCAGAGGTTATCGATACACCCATTGGTAGTGTTGTCAGGCGGAGCAGCTTTCCTAGTGGCTTCGTCTTTGGTTCAGCATCTTCTGCTTATCAGGTAAATAAACTACTTCATAATTCAGATATTTATATATGGATTAAATTTATCTCGATTGGAGGGTTTTACCCTGTTTAAGTACTCATTTTTCAAAAAAAAAAAAAAAAATCCTGTTTAAGAAAAGTTGTATGTACATTTAATTTTCATTTTCAATTTTCTATAATGAAATAAATGAGTTTTGACTTTGGATGATTATGTTTTATTTAGTACGAAGGTGCTGCTTTTAAGTATGGTAAAGGGGCGAGTATATGGGATATCTACACTCATAAATATCCAGGTGATCTCCCAGCTCCAATATTATTTTGAAAGTACACGGATTAAATGATTACAAATTGAAATTCAATGGCTAAATCGTTACTTTAGTCAAACTACAAGGTCAAACGTGTTCAACTTTGTTTTAGTGCTTTTTATATCGTTACAGAGAGAATTGATGATCGCAGCAACGGAGATGTGGCTCTTGATTCGTACCATCGCTATAAGGTTATTATTATTATTTTTATTATATTTTTTTATTTCGTCGTATAATTGCGTATAGAATTGTGGATCTCAACATTGTAAAAAGTTTAAAGTATAAAATATTATTGTAGGCTAACGATTTTGTAATTCTTCATAATACAGGAATATATTGCCATTATGAAGCAAATTGGTTTGGATGTCTACAGATTCTCAATCGCCTGGACTAGAATTTTGCCATGTAAGAAATTCAAGATCAATTGGATTTATTTACAAGTTACACTTTACCATTGTTTATTTTTTTTTTCACATTAAGAAATAGTAAAAATACGATAATAAACAAAATATTTTCAAATATGTTTTGTGAATTATAAATTTTTGTTCTTGATTTCCATGATATATTATAATCCATACGGTCGTATAGCCATACCATTCCATGACTTTTTTTTTCTTTTTTCTGAATTTGTGAATTTAAGAAAACAAAACAAAACAAATCACACACATTCTTCATTTAAAAAGTATGTGAGGAACATGCACAGAAGAAAGTTAGATGAAGAAGGTGATGGTAGAATTTCATAATTACAAAAAAAAAGGATGGGGTTTTAGACGATCGAGATGAAGCAGCAATTTTAGAATCATTCCAAGAGTGAGAAGCTCGAGAAGAGATGGTTATTTTCATCGCCAAATAAATCAGATCAAGGAGCTAAACCAATTACACCATGGCACATCCCAAAGTGTTTTAATTTGTCTATTAAACTTCTAATTTCTAAAGTTTACCACATGTCTACTTTTTTTTAATGATTTTCGTACTATTTCATATGCTCCTCAATGTCACATGCAAACTTATGGATTCACATAAAAAAATGTTTTTAATACTCTTGATCTTGTCAAAAGCTTGATCATTATTTTATTGGTAATCATTAATATGTGCCTTATTTATTTGAAGAAAATATATTTTCAAAGCAATAACTTAATTTTATCATCATTAATCCACTTATTTGCCCTACCTCCAATGATTAAAATATAAATTTTAGATGGAAGACTTAGTGGGGGTGTCAACAGAGAAGGAATTCAGTACTATAACAACCTCATCAATGAACTTCTTGCAAATGGTAAGAGTAATTAATTAATTAATTGTAATATTTAATTAGTTCATTGATTATTTTGAAGCAATTTTCTTTAGTCTAATTGGGCAACAAAATCACGTGGCTGTGATTTGATCTATAGGAATCAAACCATTTGTCACAATTTTCCATTGGGATGTTCCCCAAGCTTTACAAGATGAATATCAAGGTCCCATGAATCGCCAATTTGTGTAAGTAAATTTTTATTTGATTGTTCATATTTCCCTCACAAATAAGAGCATACAAAACATATCTGTTAATAAAGAATATATGATGTGTGAATTGTGAAATATGTGTGTATATATATTTATTTTTATTAAGATTACAGGTTGTTAACATAATAACATTTTTTATAGATCTAATATTTCCCACTCAACTAATAAAATGTGTTTTTACGTGGCATTACAACAAATTTTACTACTCTTGAGAGTAAGGCTTGATTGTAAAATATGTTCCAAAAAATAATAAAACTTGAAACTCAAGTTTTCAAATTTCGTAAACACCATCGAAGAAGAATGAGGAAATATCTAACCGAAGCAATCGTCGTATTTGCTTCGGTAGATATTCTATTTAGGTATTTGAACTTGTTTGGGATCACATCTAGACAAACTGAAGTGGGACGAAGGATAATATTAAAAATGAAATTGAAACTTTACTCCATTGATCCTGTTTACGAGATCTTAAAATGTTAAAATTAAATACATTAAATTAATTAGGTAGGTAATAATTTTTATTTTTTGTTTTATCTAAATTTTTTTTAACTAACAATCTTTTCCTTTTAAGATATACATTTAAAAAAATCTAAATCTCAACCAAATTTTAGAAGTAAAAAGTTACTTTTTAAAAAATGTTATAAGTGGCTAATATTTTAGAAATGTTTTTAAGAAGGATAAAATAAAACAAAAAATTATTAAATGACAACAATTTCAAAATTAAATCATTGTCTATTGCATATATTACAAATTCCTATTAATAATGAAATGTTTCGAAGAAAATTAAATAATTGTGAAAATTAATTTCAGAAATGATTTTCGAGAATTCGCTGAGCTCTGTTTCAAAGAGTTTGGAGATAGAGTGAAGCATTGGATCACGTTGAATGAAGAATACATCTTCACCTTAAAAGGTTATGTGCTGGGACAATATGCACCTGGTAGAGGTTTAGAATGGGACCCAAGTCGTTATATTGGTGGAGATTCTGGCACCGAACCGTACTTTGTTGGACACCATCTAATTCTTGCTCACGCGGCTGCGGTCAACGTTTACCGGACCAAATATCAGGTTATTTCTCTTTTCTACCTTCAACATCATATATTTTCTTAATTTTAGGATAACGAAGTTTCAATAATTTAGTGTATATATATATATATAGGGGTAGTAGCAAATTTAACATAAGTTAAATAAAATATTAGAAAAGTAGTAGCTAAAAAGCATGCCAATATAGCAAAATCAAAATACAATAATTGCTAATTAACACATACATATATCAGTGATTTACTATCAACATAGTTAATGAATATGTAACAATATTTAGATTATTCATTGATTCACCTTTATTAACCACTGTTACATGAAATAGAGAAAAAAACATATTGATTACTATTATTTTAGTTTAGAAAAAACTCAACGATCTTTAAGAACTGCTATCTTTGCAATAAAACATCATATTTATAATTCCTTTTATGAAAATACATACTTGCCAATGCGTTTTCTTTCCTTAAAAAAAAAAAAAAAAACTATTCATCAAAATATCCCTTTAGTATATTTTCAAAATTGAGCTAGACGAAAATGGTCCTCTGAGGATCATGTAGTGTTAAGGATTTTGAGCTTGTGTTATCACACCTACTATGAGGTCTTGGTCACAATATTGTTCAGCTTCGATTATAGAGATCTACGCAGCATCCCGATTATATATATATATATGTATTGAAATAGAAAGGAAATAACATGGCTAAGATTATGAACCCCAATTTTGTAGGCAAACCAGAAGGGTATTATTGGCCTTTCATTTGCAATTAATTGGTATGTCCCATATTCAGATAGTGAGGCAGATAGAGCAGCTGCAGGTCGAGCTCTTGACTTTTCTCTTGGTTGGTAAGTAAATAAATTAGTACATGTTAATGAATTCATTACTCTACCTTAAAATTTCCAAAATTATTATCAACATTTTCTCCGAAATATATATATATATATATATACATGACCAAATTAAATAATGCATGTAGGTTTTTGCATCCACTCGTGTATGGAGATTATCCACGTAGTATGAGATTTAATGTGAAGGAGAGGTTGCCCAAATTCACAGCGGATGAAGTGGCTTCGATGATACAGTCCTTTGATTTTATTGGAATAAATTACTATACAGCTAATTATGCAAAAAACAATCCCAATATGATCATTCCAAAACCAAGCTATTTGAATGATATTCATGCAACTCTATCAAGTATGCACTTTATATTAATCAAAATCCTATGCATTTTCAAGTTTTAATAGTATGCTTGTATGTTTTCTTTTTCTTTTTTTTATAGATAAGTAATAGATAAAAGTATTTCACACAGTACACCACTGGTTAACTCATCTGTCTATATTAGTATTAGTTGTCTGTCAAGATGGTACAGTGACCAGCATAGGGGTTCCTATGCTAGTCACAATATTGTCCAGTCCAGGTAATAAATTCTATTGATAGATATTTATTAACGTAAGCCACACCATATTGATTTCAAGAAATAAAAAAAAAAAAAAACCATGAGTTGTTTATTTTTGTGCAAATGTTTCAATCTTCCACAATTTTGACTTTGTATAATTTTTTTGTTGGGTTGTAGCTGATCGTAATGGAGTCCCAATTGGTCCGAAGGTAATAACTTTACAAACTCTTTAAGAATGATAAATTTTAAATTGTGCATGCATTTCTCAATTATATATCTTCTTCTTCTTTTTTTCTTGAATGGTGTGTTGTTCTTTCAAAATAAAAAATATCTGATTTTTTTTCCCTTTGTCATGCCTTTTGAAATTTAAATCAATTCTACCCCTTTTTTCCTTTTTCATCTAACAAAATTTTTTAATACATCAAAATATTTCATGAAGATTTGAATCCAATACTTTTCTATATGCTTTAACTAGTTAAATTATGTTCAAGTTATCTAACAATTTGCTATCTATGTGTTGAATATCTTATAGGCGGGACCATCATCGTGGCTTGCAGTTTATCCACAGGGATTGAAAGATTTGTTGGTATATATAAAGAACATGTATCGAGATCCAACTATTTACATCACAGAAAATGGTATTAGAAATTAATAATTTCCAAATTTCTATATATGGATCAAAATTACGTTGTTCATTAACAAAATTTTACATTGTATAGGATACTTTGACTATGATAGCCCCAATGTTGACAAATTAATCATGGACAAGGCAAGAATCAAATACTATCACGATCATCTCTATTACCTTCATGAGGCAATGAAGTAAGTGGCAAAACAAAAGACTAAATTGCTCTTTCTTTGTTCTTTTAATCTTCTTTTCAATAAACTAGGGTTTACTCAAATGGTGGTGTGTTGTGAGTTCTAGTTGTTTTTGTTACATTTTTCCAATGCCATTTTTTGGATTTCATTTTAGGGGTTACTTTTATGATTTACTTTCTAATGTTTGGTTGTAATTACTCATGTTACTATTAATATTCATGGATTTCATCTCAACATCAATTGACAATGAAAGGAATAGTTAAATTCTTAACATGCCCCTCAAAATCGTGGCTATTTTGTTTCATCTATCTTTGTCGGATCTTAATTTTTTTTTTACTGGATGTTCGCTTGAGCTTCTTGAATTTTGATACCATGTTAGTATTCATGAAATTCTATTTCAAAATTAATTGGGAATGGAAGAGTAGTTCATATCTATTAAAATTCTTAACAATTATATGTGGTAACTGATCCTTGTTGTTAATGATATTTTGAAAAATGTTTTGCAGTGCTGGTGTAAGAGTGAAAGGATATTTTGTATGGACATTGTTAGACGACTTTGAATGGGCAAGTGGCTACACTATACGCTTTGGTATGACCTACGTTGATTTCAAGAACAATTTGAAAACGCTTCTGAAAGAATCAGCAATATGGTTCAACAATTTCCTCAAGACCTAAAGGAGACTTATTGGCTGTTTTGTTATTGCATTCTTCTAATAAGAAGACTACTAAATAAATTTGCAATAGCAAAACCATGTCTTGACATTTATTAAGTATGTATCTTAATGTTTTCTATATTGGTGGTCAATGAAATAAACTTCTCTTCTCTTTACTTGTTTGGCATCTATATGTTTTTTTATTAATTTGGAACACCATAATTGTTATTTGAATATTATCATAATCATATATTAATGTTGATGAATTCGCCATTGAATTAAATCTATGTTTGTTTGATTAGTTTATTTGAAAGGAGTGATGATAATACATGTTGATTACCATTTTTGGGTGAGGTCCGTGCGTAGGTGCCACTGGAGTGTCACGTACGTCTTTGTCTCTGATGCTCTCCTACTTGGTACGCACAAAAAAATCTTGTACCAGTGTGGTACTTGTTAAAAATTATTGTAAACATGTGTTAGTTTCTTTGTTAATGGTTCTACATTTTTAGAAGTCATGCAAGGTAATTAATTTCATAGTTGGAAGTTTATGAAGTAGTGGATGAGTGTATGTGTATGTTGAGAGAATTTGTAGGTTAGTTGCTTAGTGGAGTGTGGTGTTAGGTTTAGAGAGAATTTGATGGGTAGTGGTTTGAGTAGTGGATTAGTGGTTGGTTATTTACTTTTTCTATAAATACTTTATAACAATCTCAATTCAATGAATAGAAGTTGTTCCTTCGTATAATTTCTCTATTGCTTCCACTTTGTTGTTATCTTCGTTTTTTCCATTACATATCATGTGTTTGAGTTTAGTGCTCGTTGTTTGAGTCTACTGCTCGGTATTTGAGTTTATGCTCGGTGAAGATGAACGGTGGAAACAATGTTTGTGTAGACAAGCTTGCCAGTGATAATCATAGCTATTTAGAGGCTATATGTATGGAAGCTCTTCTACAATGACAAGATTTGTCAGATCTTATATCTGGTGAAGACACTGTAATTCCATATGATACTCTACAAAATGCTGAGGTACGAAGAAAGTGGAAGATCAAGTGTGACAAAGCTTTATTTGCTTTGCGAACTTCTATTGGCAATGAATATATTGAGCATGTTCGTGATGTAAATTCTCCAAAGGAAGTATGAGATACACTTGAAAGGTTGTTCACTCAGAAGAACACAACGAGATTGCAGTATTTGGATAATGAACTTGTTGTAACAACTCAATGTAATTTGTCGGTTACAGAATATTTTCTGGTAGTTAAAGCTTTGTATTATAAAATTTCATAATTGGACAAGGAGGAGCCTATTAGTGATGCTCGTTTGAGTCGGTATCTTATTCGGACTATGTAAGGAGTTTATGCCATTTATTTTTTCGATATAAGATTGGGTAAATAAACCTTCTATCTTGAGTTGGAAAATTTGCTATCAAACTAGGAAGCTTGGGTGAAACAAATGCTTGGTGATAACAAGCGGTCTTCTCCTGAGGTGACATGTAGTCGCTATGATATGAAGTGTTTGGACCTTGTTACATGTCAAATTAACCTCTTGTGCTTTGAGAAAGAAAATGATATTCTACTCCTCGGCTATGTCAAGAAACTGAAAAGAGGAAGCAACTTGGTGCTGTCGTGGATCGTTTTCATATGGGGTAAACTGAAAGGAGGAAGCAACTTGGTGTTGTTACTTGAGATTTGAACTCGTGACTTGAGTGTTGACATTCCAACATCACACCAATGTGCCACCACCTTAGGATGTAAGCTATGATCTTTTCTAAAATAGAAACTTTGTATATTTGAATTTTGTTTTAAAAAAAAACTCTAAACGAAATCTTTTATTTAAAATAATTATTTAGTAAAACAATGATAAAATGAGGCATGCAAAGACTCGAACTTGGGTTTGTATATTAAAAGCCAAACATCTTACCACTATGTCAACACCCTAAGATGTAAACATGGTACTCTTTTACAAAAACAAAAGTTTTATTTATTTTTTAAACTAAAAAAAAAACCTACAAATTTTGTTAAATTAAAACAAAATTTTTTTTATGTATTTTGACATTAAAAAGATTTTTTCAAGAAAATCTTTTATTTCTAATTAAAAAAAATCAATTTTACTTAAAACAAATTGTTAAAGATTTTCTAAAATGATACTCATGTTACAAAATAAGATCTTATTTTAAAACAAATCCCTAGAAAACAATTTTCTTTAAATCCTCTATTTTTTTAAATCACTGCAGCAGAAATTCTCTTTCTAAAAATAAATTAAAAAAATAAGAAAACAAAATTAAGAACTTTGAATGGAAATTTTAAAGAATCCAATTTATTTTTAAAACATTATTTAGTTTATAAAAACTCTTATTATTATTTTTTTAACTTACAAGACTTTAATGCAAAATCTTTTATTTAAATGAAATTAACTTTTTGTTTACTTTATTTAAAAATTATTTTATTTTACTTTAAGAAAAATTATCTACATTATTTTTCAAAACTTATTTTAAAAAGTTTATTTTCTTTAAAGGAAAATTTTTATTTTTCTGTTAAAAAGAAACTTTCTTTTTATTATTAAAAGAAATGTAGGGTATACTATGCAAAGATTTTTACCACGGATGTCGTTCGTCGTGTTAGCGTGGGTCGCTGGACTCTTCGTCGTCATCGGTCTATCACCGGAGGATGGTCTCAAGGCAGCAATGGAGGTCGTGAGGTGTGCACCGAAGTTTTGTTTTGTGTTGGTTCGAACAGCCTTTAGAGACTAAGGGAAAAAATAAAAAATAAAAAATAAAAAATTTTCTTCACCCAAATCAGTCTTCTGTGTGCTCTCTGTTTTTTCCCTCCCCTCTGTGTGTTGTGTGCCCTTTAAATATACCAAAAAAATAACAGTAACATGCGTGGGTCGAGTAAAACCAGAGAAAAAGAGGGAATGGGAAAGCGTTCAGTTTTGAGGAAGGAAAAACGGGAGGAGAAACCAAATGTTTATTTTTAACCAAAACATAATCTAAATTTTTTTAATTAAAAAAACCTTTATTTAAAACAAAATTATATAAATAAAATAAAATCTTTTTATTTCTTTTATTTTAATATTAAATCAAATTCTTTAAAACAAAATCTATTTTTTTAATTTAATTTAAACTTTAGCTTATAAACAATAATAAAGTAATCCTATAGTATTTAATAAAATAAAAATTAAATAATTAAAAATAAAACTAAAATAAAGTCGGACCAAATACGGTGTCTAGTGTGTGTGTTGAATCTTCACGAGTAATTCTGTAGGGGAATGCAAATTACTTTTGCTAGGGTTATCTCTTTCTTTTTATATGAGATGGAGAAGATGTGAGAGAGGTCTTCATTCCCTTGGTCGTTCGCAGGGCAGAGGTATATTGTGCGGAGGGTCTGCGAGGACCATCGACATCCTCTATCTCCCACTATTGCAAAGGTGAGGGCCTTGGCATGCAACGACCTATTTGGTCCCCTGGTGGCATGTATCCGTTTGGGTATAGGGTGTCAGTGGTCTGTCAATTGGTTGTCCATTATAAGAACTCCTCGACCAAAACGTTGGTACACTCGGATTCCTTTTGGTGTGCTCGGTCATGCCAGGTTGATTTCTTGACACATGACATGTCGTTTCACCCGATAACAGTACAACAAAAAATTATTAAACTAAAAACGGAAAAAGCCTTTGTCAAGTTTATCTAACTAATCATTCTAATGTTTAGTTTAATTAACTATTATTATTCCCTAAAGTTCATATAATATATTTTGTTGTTGGGTTTGTAAGGAGTGCAAACAAAGTCCCACATTGGCTAGGGAAGTGAATGATCATGGGTATATAAGAGAGGACAATTATCAGGAAAATTGACAAAATAAGCATTCTATAGGGCCCTTTTAAGTTTTTTAATCATCATTTTCAAAACACAATTTTTTCCTGATTCTCTCTAAAATTTTCTTGGAGTTTCTCTTTTCCTTCTTCCATCTTTTTGTATTTTTTCTAATTACTATTATTCCCTTTCTTCTTTACTGACCACAAAAAGCAATTTACTTTAAAAGAAAAATGTTGGCCTTTTGGCCCTTAATCTCAAATTAATTAAGTAATTAATTAATTAATTAATTAATGTTTTGATGATAACAAACTTAATTTTGTTATTTGACAATCTTAGTGTTTTGAAGTATCCACACTGTAGAGCTCGAAATAAGGATTCCAACAGTTTTTGAATTACCCAAATCGGAACTCAAACGAAGAAGTTATTGCCGAATCAAGTTGAAAGGATAAATTCCCGAAGTGAATGACGTGGCAATTAAATCCTACATGGACGAATAGAGGAGGACATGTGGCGAGTCAAAAATTTTAGTTTACAAATGAAAATGAAAAGAAGAAAAGAATACAATTTTTTAGTTTATAAAAAGAATGAAAAGAGAAAAGAAAAGGAGAAGAAAAGAAATAAAAAAAATTAAGTTCCAACGGTAGGTTAAAAGAAAGAAAAGAAAAAAAAAAGCTTTGAAGAGCCGTTAGAGATAAAAGAAAAAAAATTATTATTATTATTTTATTATATTATATTATATTTTCAAAATCAATTATTATTTTATTCAATTAAATCTCAACCTTTGATTTTCAATCATTAAAGATCTAATGGCCCAAATTCAATTTCGATTTCAAATTTATTTTCAACTTTTCCTCATCTATTTAAACCCCACTTCCTTCAAAATTTTACACAACTCATTCTCTCTCAATTTTCTCTCTAATTCATCCATTATTCATCTCTCTAAAATTTTAATGTTTTTCTAATTACTTGTGAGAGAAATTTTATTTGAGAGATCCGTGTGCTTCCAATTTTATTTGTCTTAGCCAATTTGAGGGCTTTTATTTGTAAGAATTTTTCTTACAAATTTGTGAGCAAATATTTGTATACCCACTCTTTGAGAGAGTTTGTAAGTTTGTTCTTAGATTTCCATATTCTTTGTAAGGGTTGCTCTTGAGCCCGAAAAAGAGCGTTGTAACGGTTTGATCCTGAACCGTGGAATGATTGGATTTCTTCTTGCTCCCGAAAAAAAGAAGGTTTTATACCGGTTTGACTCCTACCGTGGAAAGAATCAAAGTTTCTTAATCGAATGTCCAAGAGGCGCTTGGGGAGTGGAGTAGGTCGGTTGTTGCCGAACCACTATAAAATTTCCGGTGTCATTTCTCTAACCCTACT